ACTCTGGTGGTTCTGGCGTCTGGCTTGGACGTCCAGGCTACGGTTTGGGCGTCCACCCTAGGCGCCGGAACCACTCCGACGGTAAACCGTGAATTTTAACGGTGACTTACCTCGTTTTCCGTCGACGACGACGTACCTCCGGCGTCCCCCGCATCTCCGGCCTGCCCTCCGGTCTCCCCCGGCGAGCCAGTACGGCTCCACATTTTTTACACCGAGATTATTTCAATTTTAGAAAATGGGCATAATGGTCAAACCATATCATATTTGTGGGCTTTATATGGTAAATTGCGGGCGATGTTTAGCGTTTCACTAAATTTAACGGAATCCGTTTGGTAGCAATTTAAACAACTGTGATTTTAGGTGTTAGTAAAATAAAAAAAAAAAATTAAGGGGTAGCAAAAGTGAGATGCATGTATTTTGGTGGTAGCAAAAGTGAAATTACCCTAATTCTTATGACAATTACGAGCATAGAAGTTGAAGTGGAAATCCTAGCTCGGCCTCCAACTCAAGATTTAAGAGCATTCTCATCCATAGTACTAGCCTTATATGCACGTATTGTGTGCTTTTAATTTTCAAACAGATTTTTTGGAGTAATTTATTATGACTATTACGAGCATAGTGGTTGAAGTGGAAGTCCTAGCTCGGCCTCCAACTCAAGATTTAAGAGCATTCTCATCCATAGTACTAGCCTTATATACACGCATTGTGTGCTTTTAATTTTCAAACAGATATTTTGGAGTAATTCTTATGACTATTATGAGCATAGTGGTTGAAGTGGAAGTCCTAGCTCGGCCTCCAACTCAAGGTTTAAGAGCATTCCCATCCATGGTACTAGCCTTAAATGCAGTTATGCACAAGTTGTGTGCTTTAAATTAGGTTAGATGAAAGATAAACCCTAAAATGTGAAATTGATGACAAAAAGAAGAAACAACTTACCTCATAAGCTGCTTCAATGGTGGATACCGGTATTAATAGGCGTCGTGCGATTCAATGGAGGACATCAACTGCGCTTCAATGGAGAACGTCAACTAAGAGAGATAGGGGCGTAAGGCTTTGTTCATCCGGCTTTAAAAAAAATAAAAAAAAATTAGAAATAAAACTGTTTTAAAATTATTGTATTATTTTCATATTTTTTTATACACTTAGGCCTGTTCACTTCCCTTTAAAAAATGATATTGAATAAAAATAATTTCACTTCAATAAAAATAATTTCGATTCAGCAAAAATAAGTTGAAATAAACTGGGCTAAAACTTGTATCAATTGTTTGTAAGTTTTTTTTTTGAAATTTACAACAAACAAAGGAAAATAAAGCATCATAAGTTACTATAGGCATAAAAAGCCCTTACACAACACCAAAGGTCATTGATGACATTTACCTTTAAGCTATTATTCCTTCCGTATTTTATTACTTGCTCTAATTTCCTTTTGCGGACGTATTTTATTACTTGCTTCATTTTCTTTTTTTGAAAACTGTTAAATATATATACATAACTATTACTAAAATAACAACCGCTACTGTCATCTTTTTTTTTCCAAAGTTGTACACGTGGCGCTACCGCATGAAAAGATTTCCCGCTCATGTGCTAATTAATTTTAAACAAGTAGTAGCTATTATTTAGGTAATTAATTAATTTAAAACATGTACCTATTATTTAGGTAATTTATGTTGATATTAGGATGTTGGAGTCTTTATAGGAGTTGTTTGCATAAATGAGGTCAATTGAACTAAACTTGTGAACATTTTGAACTCAAAAAAATATGAAAACAAAATTTTACAAAAATCTAAAGATAAATTACTGTTATAATAGGTTGTACAATAAACTTTAAGTATGTTTTATCTTGAAATCAATTATCTAAACCACCCAATACCCAATAGTTTTTTTTTTTTTTTTTTTTTTTGAAATGGAATATTTAAATTCTTGCACCCCTAAAACGTACTCTACATACTGCTTTTAGTTCACTTATTCTGATTTTAATTTCGTTGTTTTAATTTTGTAGGTACGCAAATGCAAATACGATTGAGAGGAAATTGGGATTTGCAAAGATAGGTTTTTAGAAGACTTAATTTTTTTTGTTATACATCCTTTAGAAGGGTTAACTAATTTCATAAATTTGAATTGCTCCCTCTTTGTTTATGCACCTCTATGTTGTAAAAGATTTTCAATTTTAAATTTTCTTAATTTACTCCAATAACAATATAGTACCTGAAGCGTTGAGCTTCGTATATTTTACGCAAATTTTAGCCAATTTTAATTGTGAAAGTCGCACAGGTGCTAACTTAGTATTTTACTATTTTCCTCCACATTAATGGGCCCCTCATATCATATTTTAATATTTATCATATTCTCTCCTCTCTCGCTTGTACTCACTTTTGCTTTTTTAGATTTTTTATTATTCAACCAACCCCAGTTTCATTATATTTTATTACTTTCCACTATTCCTCCTAAAACTCCGCGCATGGAGAAATGAAACAAGTAATAATATACGGGGAGAGTACAAAGATATTTAAATCCTAAAATAATATTGTATTTTTTTTAATCTACGTGGCATATAAAATTACAATCTCAAATCTTATTCGTTAATTTTATTGATGTGGCGATTAATTGTTTTAATTCTAAAATAAAATGTGAATATCTTTTTTTATTGGTTGACATAATATCTGTTGGAACATTTATAGATAAGTGTGCTTATGAGTTCATATATGAGGTTTATATTATGCTAGGAGTTGAGGAAGATTAGTATAATGATTATACTTAGAGGTATGGCAAAGCAAGATGTATAAAAGTGACAATACAAGACAAAATTGACTAACTTGTGCTTCGCTCTGGCTGATAGGGCAAGGGCGCCCTATAAGGCGAGGACGAGTAAGATAGTCAATTATCTCTATTTCATGAGATGTTGCTCGAGCCCGACCGGGCACCCCATGTCCGGTCTGCCAGGGCGAAGGGGGTTTGTCAGTTTTTACATGTTTTCCAAAAGTGGTTTGGGCGCCCGACCGGAGTTCAAAACTGACGGTGTTTGAACGGATTGCTTTGTGAACGGACATGATGTTGAAATTAAATAATTTAGGTGTTATTGATATGTGAAATGTTTTAAGGTTTAATTCCATGTACTATATCATTAGTAAATGTGATATATATATTTCATTAAATATCAATATTGTATTATCATGTTTGTAATGTATGGTATTCATGACACATGCAATGCGGCATTAAATTATTATGTGTGTGATTTTCTCAGCTGAGACATGAAGTCGTGGTGATTGTGAATTTTATAAGGTTCAATTTTATTTTATTTTTTAACTTGGCGGAATTTTGGCCAAAGTATTGCCTAGTTATGTTGATTAACGTTGTATAAAATTCTGACGGGATGAGAATTAAGACCAAAATAAATTACCGGTAAAGAAAACTCAATTCAACGTCTAGTACGACGCTAGATCTTGAATTCAATGAGGGTCCAACTTTACTTGGTGATTTGAAGCACTATATTTATTAATACATTCCAAAGGTTAGTACTTAGTATTGCAATGTAAAGAGGTTCGTTGAAATTTATTTCTTAATAGACTTTTAGGAGGTTGCTCATATAGCAAGAGCATGTATTTATTGAAAGTCTACCTATATGAGTAAGAAGTTTGGCCGCTTCACCAAGTTAGGGGCTTAACTTGAAGATACTCATGAATTGGATACGGACACAAGGCCCTTAATGGTGTCAAGGTTACATGAAAGTTTGTATGAAACTTGTGCGTATAGTATCTTCAATGGTTCAAAGTGGTTGTATGATTCAAAGCTTAGTCTATCATTATGATCAGAATCATTGTTAAGTATACTATACTAAGTGAAAATTCAATCGTTACGAAATTTTCATAATGCATGAGTTTGAGTGTTTGTTTATTAGGCAAGGCATAAGCATTATACATTTATTCTATAAATGGAGGAGGATTGTTGGAACATTTATAGATAAGTGTGCTTATGAGTCCATATATGAGGTTTATATTATGCTAGGAGTTGAGGAGCATTGGTATAATGATTATACTTAGAGGTATGGCAAAGCAAGATGTATAAAAGTGACAATACAAGGAAAAATTGACTAATTTGTGCTTCACCCTGTATAATAGAGCAAGGGCACCCTGTAGGGCGAGCACGAGTAAGATAGTCAATTATCTCTATTTCATTGAGATGTTGCTCGTACTCGACTAGGCGCCCATGCCCGGTTTGCCTGGGCAAAGGGGGTTTGTCAGTTTTTACATGTTTTCCAAATGTGGTTTGCGCGCCCGACCGGGCTCCCTTGCCCAGTCTGCCATGGCAGAGTTCAAAACTGACAGTTTTTGACAGTTTTTGAATGGATTGCTTTGTGAACGGACATATCCGTTGGATATTAACTACTCTTCATATAAACTCTATAAATAGGAGTTATATGACATATATGAAAGATGATGGAAGAGATTATCATTTTTAACTTGCTTCTTTTGAGAGAAATTAATCTAGAGTATTTTCTCTTAATTGGTTTTACAAACACTTGTTCACAAACTTCTCGTAGATTGATTTTGATAAGCAACCAAAATCAATTGTCTCTTTTTGTATCTCAATAGTTATATAGTGCTAAACTTGTTGTTTCATAGAGGGTCGATAATAAACTATTAGGAAAGCTGCTATGATACGTGCCTAGAAGAAATATCCGATCCCTCTTGTTTTCATCCTCCATTTTGTTATAACAATATCTTTACTTATGTGGCACACCGAATACTCCGAAAAAATAATACATATTGGTGTAAACGACTCTTTCGTTATATTCTATATTTAATTTCATTATATTATATATGCAAAATAAGAAGAAAAAAAATACGAATTATATTATAATTGTATTTTGTCCATGTTAAGTTTATGAAAATATAAATATTTTTTAAATTTAATGTAGTTAAATTATTGTGCATGACTAAAGACCTAACCTAGTTAGGACTAAAAACCACTCAAAGTGTATAGAGGGGATTCAATACATAACCTTGAAGTTGAAATTAGCTTGGTTGCATAATTGCATTAAGCTTAAATTATAACTAAAAACTGCCCAAAAGCAATGCAACTATCATTCATAAGATTTTCGACATCTAATACAATTTGTGCCTACAGGTGTGGCACAAAGTGTCAAAAGACCTAGTTACATTTGCTAAAAGAGGTTTTCCTCAACCATGTTCATTCACTACAAAAATCTTTGCACTCACTAATATACTACACTTGCAGTATGCTCAATGCCCCAACGATTTACAAAATAAATAAAAGAGAAATAACAAATCTGAATAATCTACACCGCGGTGGCAGTTGGTAACAATGTGTCAGACTTCCTCATAAATTCATATCAGTTGGCTGATCAGAGGGCTTATTTGAGCTGTCCTGGTCCATTTTAACACAGGCTTCTGGTTGATCTGAGCCCAAATTTGGAGCCTACAAGTGAGAAGAAAGTAAACAAGTAAGCCACCTATAAAAGGTAAAAAAAAAGTAAATTTTCAAATGCTTGACAGGCTCAAAAAAGGTAGATGATATGTCATCAGTTCACCTTCAAAGATGTATTTCCTGTATTATAAGAGACGGCCATGTCTCTTGCATGATCCACAGGCTCTTTGACATCCTCCTGAACACATAATAACAACAAACCAATAAGTTGCTCCTCTACGACCTCAAGAAATCTAAAATAATCACTAGTACCACGAGGTACAGCCAAGTAATGAGTTTCATCTTTAAGCCACAGATAGAAAAGTGTCTTGGTGCTTATTGATGTATTTAGTTAAGCTCACACCTTTAGAAAAAGGGCTTTTATAATGTACCAAGTCCAAACAGGAGAAAGTTTCTATCTATTGAAACACAATTACAAGTTAATACAACCCATAGGAAGGGAAGTTATAAAGATCACATAAGAGTCTGGAAAGAGAGTATGATATTCCTTGGTGCAGGTACATGCATAGCAAAAAAAACCACTCAATGTTACTGCTCAGTTAATGAGATGCCACGCTAAATGCACCATTAAGGTAAACAATACTGGCGATACACAAGGATGAAGGGAAAAGCAGGAGGGGCAGCCCAAGCAATGCAAAAAAAAAAATAAAGAAAAAAAACAACAAAAACCAAAAAACACCGCTAGACTGCATGCCAGGTTGAGCTTGCTTTCCGAGTGATGTAGTTACAAGTAGGCTATACAATCAAGACTAAGGTATGTATACCGGACACAGGTACATATCTGAATGATTAGACCATGGCTCAAATTATAGGACATGGGAACTCTTGAATTTGGACATTGGGAATGGGGACATGTCAATCTAAACATTTTTTTTCAAAATAATCAGAATTGTAAGCAGACTTTACACACCTTTTTAATTCTCAAGCTTTTATCCAATCGATTATCTTGTAATGCTCTTGTTAGCCAACCCCAAATCATTTGGGACCAAGGCTTTGTTGTTGAAATCAGAATATATATAAACTAATTGAATATAAGAGTCCCCTAAAGCTGCTAAGAGGAGGCTCCCATCTTTACTTGGGGATTAAGTATATGTGGCAAGGTCAAGTGTCATGTATGGATACCTTACCTATATCCTTGCAGCATTCTGTGGTATATCCCAAGTCAAAGTAGGCATTGCAACTTTGCAAGTGGGAAATTCTATTTGCTAAACTTAGGATCAAACATTAGGCGGATCACTCTCTGGGAACATCTAAATATCTAATGGACACTTGGATGGCGACGCACTAAATTACTCAAACTTTGGAATTAAACCAAGAAAAGAAACAAACTTTCTGTGACTTTTAACTGACAACTTTTCAAGAGAAAACTTGCACGTAATATTGCACAATAAGACTACTTTTCAAAAGATATTTAAGGAGAAACTCTTCCTCAAAATATTGCCAACAATTCAATTGGAAGGTGCATTGAAACTTGTAGAAGCCATAAAACATTTTGATTTATTTTTTTTGGTTACTCATTTTGCTCATCTCTAAGAAATATTTGCACAAGTTCATCAGGTTATCCAGCTTAAGAAATGTATTGAACTCAATAAAATGCTTGTTTGTAATAGTTGAAATAATTACAGAATATATGGTGAATGGAAACTCCTAAATGGCTAAACTAGTTTTTCAATGCTTAATAAGGATAATTCATACTATTGTAAGTAATGTCCTTATATTAAATAAGTTAATTACCTCTGATTTACAGTTTGTTACCTTCACTTGCTTATGATCCTTTCAATTTCTAGGTTCCTTTGCACTTTGGATGGTGTTTCATTCACAGGTTGATGGTTCATCCTTTAAAGTTGGTCCACAACTCGCTTAATTCATAATTATTCAACCTAGTGGCTTGCAAAAGGGCACATAAGCTGTGTCCACAACTATGCTTTTTTCTTATATCATTTCCATTAATATCCCAAACACAACAGACCATTGATTACCTTATTTCTGTGTGCTTCAACATAACTAATGTTTCCCATTACTATTATATTGGGCAGAAAAGGCAAAAGAAAAAAAGGATACAACTACCCCGCTCAAACTTTGCAATAAAGGCAAAAGAAGTTCAAGTACCTAGATACACCAATCTGGCTACACAATCACAAGCTAAAGGCTGCGAAGCATTAAGACTTTTATTGTCTAGAAAGAAATAAATTATCTACACTCTACATGATTACATGAAGCAATAAAAATGGAATTGAAGGTTGTGATGACATATGTCAATGCAACATTGCAAGTTCAGCAGACCTGGGTGCATCCTCACTGATTTGGATATCACAAGAGAACTAAAATAGTTTCAGCTTATTATCACTAAACAGACATTAGCGTTTCCTCAAATACCTGGATGTCATCACCCCTATTATTATGTCCATGCCTCAAAAAGAAATATTCTAGTTAACCAATGAAAGGTTTAAACTTTAAGGATAATATTGCCCGAAATAAGTTAAAACCATAGCACAGACTATATACAGCAAATCAACCTCAAGATAGATAGAGACATACCGAATCTTTATGATCAGGCTCCATAATCTCTCTTTTCACTCTGCTTCGTATTGATAAGGGGCTGCACCAAGCAAACCAAGTATATATAACACAAAACTGAGATCCGCAAAAAAAAAAAAAAAAAAAAAAAAGGATTAAATGTTAAAATAAGCAAAGGAAAATCGATTTTACACACCGGTCATCATCAACCTCCATATCAGAATCTGGATCCCATCTTCGATCTGGATCTTGTTGATCTTCATCTTCCTGAACAGTAGGAAAAACTTCACGATCAATAAACAACTAAAATAATGCTCAGTAGCATATGCAAATTTAAGGGCAAGGACCTATAATCTGCTTCTCGTGTCTAGAAAAAAAAGTATGATATATAGGGTGTTTTTTTTTTGGTTACTGGAACAATCCAAATAAGTTGCAACATAATCAATCCTCAAAAAAATTTATGTCGCTCAATTAGGGCACATAAATTACCCATGAGGTTCCATTCAGGCCACAACTAATTTTCTAAGAGAGGGACATCGCCATCCAAATTTACTATAGAACATGGTATTAAACTCGACTTTCACTGCGTAACAAACACATTGTAAAGGTTGTTGAGCTTACAATGACCACAATATTAAGCCGTGAATTCGCGGCAACGCCACAATGCCCACAAAAGTGGTTCCACATCATTATTGTGAATGTGACGCACAACTAGATAAAGGCATGCTTTAGAAACCTTAAAGAGGCCTATGTTTCTCATAATTTTGCAAAAAATTTGCTCATACGACATCATTACCCCAATGCTTCCAGCAAAGCTCCCACTTCAAATAGGATAAACAAGGGGATGGATTCAGATGCAAGCAAACTTACGCCTACTAAACCAAAGAAGATGTTTCCACTCAAACCCTAGTCTAACTCCATAAGAAATAGGTTCAGATAGTTTTTAACTATCTAAATTATTTATGTGAACAAAACCACTTGAAAGCTTTGGTATTGGCTATGATGTGTTCATGATGATTTCTGTGTTTTCAAAGGCACCAAAGAAAAAAAAAGGCACAAGGTTTGGTCATTATGACTTGTTTGCTCTTTAACAAGGAGAACCATACCATCAAGACACGCAAGAATAAGAGGTGGAAGAAACAAGATCTAACATGGCATTAGCAATGACATTGTCTCCAGGTCATAGGAATTTCAAGGTTAGAAGTAATCTAGAGTATATTTGAGCATCGTACACATCTGTTTCCTAGCAAAATTGTGTTAGGTAAGACTACTGTATACAAGGATTTATTCTCAGTCTACATAAAGTTCATAACAGTTGCAAATGGATCACTAACAAACCATAAACTATCCAAGCTATCCAATAGCAGCTCCCAATTCTTACATAGATTCTCAACTCAAATATCCAAAGCCCAATAGTAGCTTCACAACTTAACCCTTCCTAACATATAGACTTATCTAGCAATCATAATGCTTCCCTCTCTTTCTTCTACCAACAATCTCTCTTATCTATCCCCACATCTCTCTCAATAATTTCTCTTTCCACACCTCTCCTCATCTGATGGACCCTTCAAGGCTCATAAACTCAAACCCGTCACTATCTGCAAAATTTAGACATGCATTCTTTGAAATCAATAGTGAGGTTGATGGATCAGATGATGTTATTTACATAATTACATGCACGTTATTACAAGGTTACCTTTTACAGAACTTTATGGCTCTGCTATTTCATCAAGATGCAATCGGTGGACTTGAAAAGTACCAACTATTAACTAGGATATTAGCAGAACTTAGTATTGGGTAAACATGTCTTATTGTTGAGGACAGCATACTAATTTGCCATATTACTGCCTCAAAGAGATAAGCTTGACGATGTCACCTAGTAGTAACAAGTCACATGATAGGTAAAGAAACTTTCATGAAACAAATAATAATTATAATTAGCTATGAGCTATGAGCTATGAGCTATCTACAACAACAGTTTCAAAGCCTAATATGCCAAAGAAAAATTCAAACCATGTAGATAAATGGGGTCGGCTACATGAACCAAAAGTAATTATTCCGTGTAGTCATCGACAAAAATCTTCCTCCTCCATCCCTTACGATCCAATGCCTCATCCTCATGCAAATCCATATACTTCATATCCTTACTAACTCCCTCCAACCAAGTCATTTTCAGTCTCAGTCTCCCTCTCCCTCGTCTAACCCCTTCATGGTCCCACTTAGAGCTGGCAATCTCTGACACGACACGACAACACGACCGAAATGGCACGACATGAACACGAAGTTACTAAGAGAAAACACGAAATCGACACGACACGAAATCAACTCGAACACGACCCGTTTAGATAAAGTGGTCAAATTATGCAATTATCTAACATTTTACATAGTTTTTGATAAATTTTATGAATAACACGAAATTGACACGAGACCAAACACGAACACGACACGACTCAACTTTTTGCCACCTCTAGTCCCACTCTTCCACTCTTCGTACCGGTGCACCCTCGGGTCTCCATCTTACATGTCCAAACCAACGCAGATGATTTTCCCTTACTTTGTAAGCAATGCTGGCTACCCCTACTTTCTTGCGAATGACATCAGGTTTCGCAAACTGATGCTTCTAATCAATAAAATAAAATCCTGATATACTTAGGTTTCTCACCTAAGAGGCAAGAGACTCCTATTTTATTTTAATATCCTAAACTAGCATTGCTTAGTTAAGGACTGACTTAAGCATCAGATTTTTATCTATGTTATTTTAATAGCAAGCATATCTAGGGATAAAAAAAATACGTTTACTCCATTAAGTAGGGAAAAAAAGGTCAAACAAAGAAGAAAAACAAAACAAAATTGGAATAAGGGACTTAAAATCCACCAGAGACTAAATGGGGAAAAAAATAAAAGAACGCAAATCCTTCATTTCTTCAGAACTAGATATGATAAGGTGTGATTAAAACATTCCCAAAGAAGGCCATAATAAACCAATAAATCCCACAGAAAACCAAAGAGGCAAAGACTATCAGCCATGGAATATTATATTACTTACTTCACTCCAACAAAAGCATTGGCATAACAACAATGAAAGCAGATTGCACAGTATTTTATGGTCCTTACATGGTTATACCTTGCAAGCTTCATAAACAATTAAATCATAAATGTAGAAGCACAATGAAGACCTAACAAACTGTACAAACTCTACCATAGAACACCGCTGCCTAAAAATGAAAAACGGATGATTCTAAAGCTCCTCACAACAAAGCATCATTTTCACATGAGGAGATGGACCCTAATTTGGTATCTGAAGATGCAATTTGCCACAAGCATTGTGTTTTCCCAAACTAGCAACCAAAACAAAAGCTCTCACCCACTTTGGACACTTGGCGTTCAAATAAAAGTTAAAAGAGGGAAAAATTGTGAGCTGTGAATTTCTTGCAAGGTTTTTATAAAAAGAATGACAAGTAAATGACATTGAGGAATCAACTAACCATGCCCTTCTATCATGGGGATCATGTTATTAAACAGAATCAATTAATCACAATGATCCCTCCTAATCAAAAACATCCAAGAAAAGTTATCACCGAAGATAGCTTTAAATGATGATTTATAGTGATGAGAGTGTTTGTCTGTTTGACAATTGGTTGACAAAGCAAAAGGAAACTAAAAGGTTGCTCTTCTACCCAAGAATTCACTTAGAAAAAAAAAAGAAAAGGGTATGCTTCCTATTACCACCTTGTAGTTGACCATGGGAAATAACGATTGCAAAATCTGTGAAAGGGACTTCCAAGGGCTAGTAAAGGATCCTATTAGTTATTACACTTGATCCCAATCATTCTTTTGAGGACAATACCTACTTCATACTTGATCTGTCCCAAATTAGTCATAAAACTTCCCTCTTTCATTTGTCTAATACTCCCTTCGTTTTTTTTTTTATTCTCACTTGGGAATGCACAAAGTTTTAGGAGAGTAATATAATATTGTGAGTGGGTGAATAAATTATTATAGTAAAAGTAAGATAGGGACCATGAAAGAGAAAGTATGTGAGAGAGGATATATATTTTTATTATTTAAGTGGGGACCATGGAAGAGAGAGAAATGATAAAATAATTTGAGTGTGGTTTAAAGTAAGAGAGAGAAATGATAAAATATAGTATAAAGTTACTAAACATAGAAGTAATGCATTTACAAAAAACATCCATAAAAGAAAAGTGATGCAAATAAAAAAAAAACGGAGTGAGTAATAGTTATTACACTTTTTTATTGGCAATGGTCACATTATTATTTTAATACATCTCTCTTTTTACTACCAAGAATTTATGGCCCACTCTATCTCACATTTGATAAATATCCCACTATAATTTATCACATCGCCTTCTTTTACAAAATAATACTCCACTATATCCTTTCAAATGCACTTTTCCAAAGAATAACAATCAAAAACATATAACTATCACCTAAGACTTTGTGCCATTATAAGGGTAAGAACTAATCAGAGACAAAAGGAGTACCATTCTAAGTGAAAGAGATACACCACAAAAATATTCCAATAAGGAGATCTTTTCAAAAAACCGAATTCCTAAGCTTAAGCTTCTCTCTTCGAAACAAAAACGTTCCCAACCAACAAGATGATCTCTCTTCTCCAACTCCAGACCACCAAAATATCTCTTGTAGACCACTCCTATTTTCTAGCTACAGCCATCAAAAAAGCAAATAATAGAGATAAAAGTTCCAGAGAACCCCTTCCTTCCCACCGACTCAATGGTATACAAAACATAATGGGCAGGCCAACAAAAATCAAAATGAATTTGGGGCCAAACTAATAAAAAACACAAAACCACAAATGCTTTGGCTATATTGTAATATTCAAGGGGACAATACTCTGCCTAAACAACACTCCTCATTCATACAAAATATTAAGATTCCTTCATCAACTAACAAGAAAAAATTTCATTTAATTTCATTTTACAGCCCTCCAGCCATGTATTTATTCCCAGCCACTGAAGATTAGATAGATTTCAAACAACAAACAGATAGGTGAAAAGGCAATTTAGAACACTATGCAGCAGCACTCCTAGACAAGAATACTAACAACAAAACTTCTTGCACATAATCAGACTTAACAGCTTACTCAGCCAACAAAGAAATAGCCTCATGCCTTTAGCATTACCCCATAATTTACAATATTTTCCCATGCATGATGCATCCATGGAATTAAAACTTGGCCGCTCTATACACACTGTAACGGGTTTGGGTCTAGCCATTCCGAGAAATGCCGTTATATAATAGCGCATTGTAAATCACACCCAATTCGCCATGACGGCCATTACATAACGATAGAATGGCATTCTATAAGCATTTTATAAATGTAGCTTCCATTATATTTAAGTAATAAGAAGAAGATAGACATAATGGAAAAATAAAGTAGATTTGATATTCAACATAATTTCAAGATCTAAGGTCCGAAAGTAAAATCCTGGGTCTGCTAATTAAAAACAAGAACCATCATCAAAAAAGGAAGAAAGATATTGGGGCATGACTTTACCTAGCTCAAAAGCACAACGACTGTTGTTACTAAACCTCCCATTCATGAATCTTACAAAAAATTATACACCAAAAACCTTATGACTTCTAAGGATTTTATTTTCAAAACGAGGCATCTCAATGCAGATAGAGAGATAAATAAGGATTATATGGGTTAAACTAAATTTCAAGAGAAACGGAACCGAGATAAATTTCCAAAGAGCTGAAACTAGCATAAACAGAGGAAGGGGCCAATCAATTCATTCCATAATAGGGTAAGTTAAGAACTGCAAAATAGGAGACACCTTATGATCTCCATGAATCTAAAAACCTCCCAATTTTTTAATCAGGATGACATTCTTAAATAGACAAAGGGACAATAAATTGTAAATAAGAGTACAAGCAGAGAGTAGGTAAAACCAGACATCATGATGATTGATGACATAATACAGGTCTCAACAAAATTCCTGCCAGTTCATATAATCAATGTCAACAGGGTTTTCTATCAACCCAAAGTCAGGTTGTATTCTAGCAAAGCAAAGTTATTCAACACTCATAAAACAAGACAAATGTTCATATTAGTCAGCAGAACAGTATTTCAATGATTGCAAGTCTCATTGCTGCATGGTATTGCCATATTAGTGAAGAGAAGTACACAAACAGAGCTTAATGTTTTCCAGTATCACCTATGAGGCCATAAATATGATTTTTGAAGTTCATATAACGTATGAAGCATAATAAATCTACCTCATGGAGCTCAGTATCAGGAGGACACTCCTGGAATGGAACGCTTGGTGCATGCTGTAGGGTTGAGAGGTATTCAAGAAGCTTGGCTCTAATTTCATCCAACATAGGGCGTGAGTTCTTGTTTTCCATATTACTTGGAGCAACATGGAGAGTATAGTCTGGACCAAAATACTCAAAGTACTCGTGTTGTGGCATCTTATCATCAAGTTCAATCCCAAGGGCAACACCAGTCTGCAATAGCAACAATAAGTTATCACTAAAGACATTAGAAAGGGGAAGTTAGCCTTAAATTATTCTTACTTTTTTCTTTTTATTAAGGCAGAAAAATCATGCATAGTTGTTGTATTCAGCTTAACAACCTTGTCATGATTCCTCAATTAGAAGAAACAAATCTTACAAGCAATGAAGACATCAATGAGATTCTAATGCATATTCAAGAACAATATATTCACAAAGTCAAGAGGAGTCCTATGGACAACAGTGAATAATTCACACTAAGATTGTAGCAGTGGGGTATCTAGAATTACAAAGCACCAATTATAATAGTGATAACATTATAACATTCAAACACAATAAATCATCATATCATTTAATAAAATAATTATAAATTATATAGAGTATAGAAATAAATCTAATAGAGTTTTAAAATATACTCCGTATCCGATACATTTTGGGAAAAGTAGAATACATAAGGTATGTTGTTTTGTGCGTGCCAATGAGAAAGTGAAATAATAAAACTAAAAATATTTTATTAAATTAACATTGGGTAGTTGCGCTTCTCAATTGCAGTCTTCACTTGCTGATGACTTCTAATTTTACCATCAACTCAGCCCCCAACAAGCAGTGAAGATAAGTGGTTAGCTTGAGCCAAAAATAAGCACAGCTCAGAAGACTTCACAGCCTCTTTCCAGAGCTGAAAGAAATTGGAAAGCTACCCATCACTTGTATTACACTTTGCAGTAAGTTCTATCATTGTATTATATAAGGATTAAGACGGAAGAGTTGGCAGCAAGAGCCTTCAGATAAATGCCTCAAGGAGGAACAATTATCTCTGGATGTAAATTGTCCCACTTTTACTCTCCAAAAAAGTTTAATAATAACCAATTCAAGTAAACAATGTAATCCAGCATAGCACGTAATGTTTCCCAAAAGACAGTATTACAATCAATATAATTATTCTTGTACGCAAAATTTGAAAACACTAAGACTTAAACAAATGAAATAAATGTATTTATCCAGTAAATATGAGCAGCGGAAAGACTACAAACATCACTGATCAAACTTTCCAATCCAAAATTGGCAGGCCTAAGTTATCCTTCAAAGGAATATTACACCAGTCCATATTAATAGAATAATTATATTTGGTGAAAATCCCGTAATAAATTTACAATTAAACTTTGGGACAGGATTGTTTCATTAGTGACATACTATAGTTTTAATTCCAGTAAGATGAATCAGAACAATTAAATGCAAGTAATAAGCGTAATGATGTCTAATAATACTCCAAAAACATGATCCACCTCAGGAAATTTACTTTAAAAGGGATATATGAACATTGATTTCTTACAAGGAAGATCATCCTCTACATATGTGCCGTTTCTGATTAGCATACAAAGCAAATATCATACCTCATAACACCAACAACGAGCTACATTTCTTATAGTATAGCCACCTCCACCCACCAGCAGTAGCGGGACATTGAAGGATCTCATGTATTTGACGCACTCTGCATGGCCTCTGATGGAGAGGTTAAAACAGCCCAATCTGTCACCGGACAAAGAATCAGCACCACATTGCAGGACAACAGCCCCAGGTTTAAAAACCTCCATTACTTTTCCCATAATGGGCCTAAACAATGATTGGTAGCTCTCATCATCAATACCATCATCTAAGGGCACATTGAGAGAATAATACTTCCCCTTTCCATATCCAATATCACGAATATCTCCTGTCCCAGGAAAATAATCTCCAAATTTGTGAAAAGACACTGTCATGACCCTATCTGTAGTATAAAAAGCTTCTTCTACACCATCTCCGTGGTGAATATCAATGTCCACATACAATACACGCTGCGATATTTCAAATGTGCTTAGTGTAAATAAAGTTAGTAGATAAAAGGACAAGTTAGTAGAAGTATAGTAGATTGTAAAAATAAAAAAATAAATAAAGGCAAGTTCAATGGCCAATTGGCCAAATTTTTTTAGTATTAGCTTCTGAATTTTGCCTATCATGGTTCTGATTAAAAATAAAAAAAATAAACGAATAAATAAAACACATATTATCAGCAGTTCAGCACCAATATAGTGCAAAACACCTAAAAGAGCTCAATTCTAAAGACATATTTCATCTACAATTCATAATTTAAACCAGGCTTTTCACTCTTTACATTTTTTTAGTATTAGCTTCTGCATTATGCTTGTATAATATGGTTCTGATTCAAAAAAAAAAAAAAAAAAAAAAAAAAAAAAAAAAAAAAAAAAAAAAAAAAAACCATAATGTCAGCACCAATATAGTGCAGAACACCTGAAGTATATAGGCCAATGAGTTGATTCATTGGGCAAGAGAAAACAGATACAAAATAGCTACTGAAGATAACACTACGATTGAAAACACATTGTTTCTTAGTTGCTGGCTCTGCCATAAACCATGTCAATAAGGTTCTAAATGGTTTATTGACGGATTCTGAAATATCTAGACAGGTAATAAAATGAAACAATCTCTTTCATAGAAAATTAGTTTTCAACACATCAAGTATACCGTCATTTTTTTTATCATACATACTCACAGCAAAAGAATCTAAAGAGCATATAACTTGAACATCTAATCATTTTTTATAAATCTAACTAAGTAGCTAGTGACCAATTGCAAAAAGCAATTAAATATTTCTAGTCAAAAACCTTCTGATACAAGTTTTTATCAAGGCTATAAAGCTATATCATATAATCATAAAATGGCCAAGTAACCAATTGCAATATTCACCATTAAAGACCATAAAAAATTGTACACAAAAGATAGACCTTCATAAACATTTATAAATTAAAATCATGAAAGATGGTGAAGATCACTTCTCTCACCTCATGCACTTTGAGAAGTTCCAAAATTGCCAAAACAATATCATTCACATAACAGAACCCAGAAGCCTCGCACTTTTTCGCATGGTGCAAGCCACCTGCCCAATTAATCGCAATGTCACAAAGCCCATGGTTCAATTTGACCGCACCACCAACTGAACCGCCAGCATAAGTCTGACAAAACGAGTACAGACCATCAAATACAGGACAATCTTCACCAACATTAAATCTCTTCAACTGCCTCAATTGATCCTGTTGCGTTTCAGGGGTAATGCACCTAAGGAAGGTCACATAATCATCGGCGTGGAATCTACAAAGATCTCTATCTCTTGCAGGTACAGGCTTGAGCACTTGCATATGTTGAAGCAGACCATAATGAGCTAAAAGAGCATGTGTCATACGAATTCTATGCGGCTTCATAGGGTGACCTTGCCCGTAGTAATAATTCCCAACTTCCGGGTCATAGAAATACGAAACTTTACGTTTCACTCCGTCTGGTCCAGACGGAAGCGAATTACCTCCTGAGTCCATCACCTAATAAATGGACAAATGGGTAACGAGTCCTAACACAATTAAAGTAAATTTAACGCGACAAACATAATGCATTCAAAATCAAATGAAATTTAACGCAACAAACATAAAACATTCAAATGTCTCGGATTAACGATGTCATCCATTACTGATGCATTTGAATTTTATTAACCAAATGGAATACATTGAGTAGATAAATTATGAGTATAGTAAACTAGTTCACATGAAAATGTTGCTCCAGTAGTTTATAGATGTGTCATGAATGCACTTGAATTTTCGAACCCTAAACTTACTACACTGACAATTAAATTAAACCCTAGATTATGAAATTGGTATGATGATTACAAAAGGAAACAACAACAGCTTACCTCAGAAGCTATTTCAATGGAGGATACAGATATTAGAGGGCGCCTCAATGGAGATCGTCAAGTGCGCTTCAATGGAGAACCAACTGAAAGAGAGAGGAAGAGGAGGTAGGGCTCTACGTTCATCCGGCTCTTTTATTTTTCCTTATAAAATCGACCTGTATTTATGGTATCCTATTATTTTTTATGAACTTAAATTATTTTTATTGAATTGAAATTTTTTTTTTTTTTGAAATAAGAATTGAAATTTTTTTTATTGAATTGAAATTCTAACTTGAGAGTTAACTATGACCGTAATTAATAAAGATCTCTTATTTTAATTTAGATCAAGAAAGATGGCAGAGGAAGTGGTAACAACAATGAGGGAGGAGAGCTGAGTGAGGATGCAAGGCAGTTGGCAGTGGTCGCCCAACAGTTAGCAAGAAACTCGACCAACAATGGAGATGCTCAGGGAGAGCTATTCAAGAAGGTGGCACAAAGCAAGCCACCAACCTATCAAGGAGAACTTGATCCAACGGTGTTGGAAAATTGGTTAAGGGAATTTGAGAAACTGTTTGGGGGCAATTGGGCCAATTGGCTACCTAGAAAATTCGAAAGTAGGTTGTGCTACCTATTACCTCAGGGGTGAAGCTGACATTTGGTGGCAACAAAATGAGGCTACAATTAAGGTGCTACCTAGGTTTAACTGGACTATGTTTCAGGAGAAGGTTAGGGACAAGTTTTATCCTAACTTCTTACAGAAACAAAAGGCTAAGGAATTTGCCAACTTAGCAATAGGAGAAATGTCAGTGACTGAGTACTACACCAAGTTTATTGAACTATCACGATTTGCCAAGGAGTCTATTGCTACGGAAAAGTCAAAGGCTAGGAAGTTTGAGAGTGGATTGACTACTGATTTGCAACTTAAGCTGTGTGGACAAGTGTTCAAAAACCTTGGATGAAGTGTATGGGAGAGCTGCACACCTTTATGTGTTGGAGTTGAAGAAAAAGGAGTTAGCTGAGGTAGAAGGGAATGAAAAGAGAAAGGAGATGGGGCAAAACTCTGAAACCCGCAAGGTAACCAGAACAATTTTAAGAAGCAGAAGTACCACCATAACAACAACAACTTCCACAATAACAACAATTTCCAAGGTAACAATCACCAAGGAGGGCGAAACTTTAATGGTGGATCTAGGAACTCTAACCAAGGAAATAATAAAGGACCAAGGCATTTCTACTGTAAGAGGTGTAGGAACGACCACCCTGGTAAGGACTGTGAGGGAAATCTGGTTACTTGTTGCACATGCAACAAGTTGGGATATAGGGAGTATGAGTGCTTCTCTAAAGATCCTAATCGAAACGAGCAAGGAAATAATCAAGGAGGGGCTCAAAGAAACTTTCAGGGAAACAACAACTATACAGGGAATAAGGGGACACGGCATAATGGAGTGAAAAGCAACAATAATGGGAATAATCAGGCGAAGAGTGGAGCTTCAGGAAAACTAAACGTGATGAGTAGGCATGAGGCTAATTCCACGAAGGATGTTATCACTGGTACCTTTTCTATTAACTCTACCCCTGTTAAAGTTTTGTTTGATTCTGGTGCAACTTTTTATTTTATTTAAAAGGCCATTGTTTCAAAACTATCACACTGTTTGAAAACCGTAGATGTTATAGATTTACCTATAGTTATTCCTACGGGAGGGGTACTACAGTGTACCAAAACTTTTAAGGATGTACCATTAGAAATCGAGGGAAAAGTGTTTCTATCTGACCTCATCGAGTTTGGGTTAAGTGACTTCGATGTCATTTTGGGAATGGATTGGTTAAGCAAGTACAGTGTAGAGATTAGTTGTCTATTGCAGAAAGTAAAGATGAGTACAACTGAGAATGAGTTGGTAACATATTGGAAACATGGTGAAACGAAATGCCCAAGGATCATATCCGTGTTGAAGTTGGCAAGGTATATTAAAAAGGGGCATCTAGTATATTTTTGTAGTGTGGGGAACTTAGAACATGAAGAGGCAGCCATGCCTGAGGACATAGAAGTGGTGAATGAGTTTTTGGATGTATTCCCAAACGAAATTCCAGGAATGCCACCTAAGAGGGCAATTGACTTCACAATAGAGTTGGTCTTAGGAACATCACCAATTTCCAAGGCACCATATCGAATGGCACCTGTAGAGATGAGTGAATTGAAGGAGCAATTGCGGGATTTACTGGAAAAAGGATACATTAGACCAAGTGCATCGCCTTGGGGAGCACCAGTGTTGTTTGTCAAGAAGAAAGATGGGAGTATGAGATTATGTATTGACTATAGGGAGTTGAATAAGGTCACCATAAAGACCAAGTTTCCATTACTAGAGATTGATAAACTATTTGACCAATTAAGGGGCGCATCTGTGTTTTCTAAGATTGATTTAAGGTCTGGATACCATCAGTTGAGGATCGTAGATGAAGATATTCCCAAAACTGCATTTAGAACAAGGTATGGGCATTATGAGTTCAAAGTAATGCCATTTGGGTTGAGGAATGCTCCAGCAATCTTCATGGACTTGATGAATAGAGTGTTCAATCCATTTATGGACAAGTTTGTCATGGTGTTCATAGATGATATTCTGGTGTATTCAAAGAATAAGGAGGAACATGTGGAACAGTTGAGAACAATTCTACAAACATTAAGGGAGAACAAGCTTATGCGAAGTTTTTCAAGTGTGAGTTTTGGTTGGAGAAAGTAGCATTTCTAGGTCATTTTGTGTCCAAGGATGGGGTAGAAGTAGATCCAGCAAAGATTGAGGTAGTGAAAGGATGTCCTACGCCAAAGACGGTGTCTGACGTTAGGAGTTTCTTAGGTTTAGCAGGGTATTATAGGCGTTTTGTGAAAGACTTTTGTAAGATGCTAAGCCTATGACCTCTCTAATGAAGAAGGACAAGAAATTTGAGTGGGATGAGAAGTGAGAAGAAGCCTTCCAACTCTTCAAACAAAAGTTGATTACAACACCAATGCTTACATTGCCAGATGATAGTGGGATCTATGATGTATATAGTGACGCATCCAAGAATGGTATGGGATGTGTGCTTATGCAAAATGGGAAAGTGATTACATATGCATCAAGACAATTGAAACCTCATGAAGTAAACCACCTTACTCATGACTTAGAATTAGCTGCAATCACTTTTTCACTAAAGATTTGGAGGCACCGCTTGTATGGGGTAAAATGTAAGATTTACACAGACCATAAAAGTTTGAAGTACATGTTTACCCAAATAGATCTAAACTCACGCCAAAGGAGATGGTTAGAATTTACAACGGACTACGACTTGGACATACAATACCATGAAGGGAAAGTAGATGTAGTTGCAGACGCTCTAAGTCGTAAGATCGGTCATGGACTGAACACTTTGATAGTGGCTGATGAGTTGTGTAGGTGAATGAGGAAAATGAATTTAGAAGTGGTAGAATGGGGAGTACCAGCAAGTATACTCGCGAATCTGAGTATTCAACTAACAATATTTGATGAGATAAAGGAGAACCAAGCATGAGATGTTAAGTTGGATAGGATTCGTAAGAAAATAAACCAAGGTAAGGCTACAAATTTCAAAATTTATGAAGATGAAAGTTTAAGATACAAAGGTAGATGGTGTGTACCACAAACGTGTGAAGAATTAAAGAGAAAATTGATGGAAGAAGGTCACAATACACCATACTCAGTACACCCAGAAGGGGACAAGCTATACAAAGACTTGAAAAAGATGTATTGGTGGCCTAGAATGAAGAATGAAGTTGCGAAATTTGTAGCGAAGTGTCTAACTTGTCAAAAAGTGAAGATAGAGCACAAGAGACCGCAAGGAACTGTGCAATCATTGGAAATTCCTGGATGGAAGTGGGATGGTATTTTAATGGACTTTGTGACTTGCCTTCCAAAGTCAAAGAATGAAAATGATACCATTTGGGTCGTGGTGGATACATTGACTAAATCTGCGGTGTTCATAACCAATGTAGGAGACCTGGAAGATGGAACAACTTGCAAAAGCTTACATAAAAAATGTTGTGAGGTTACATGGAGTTCCAAAGGATATTGTGTCTGATAGAGATTCTAGGTTTCTATCGAAGTTCTGGAAGAATGTTCAAGAAAACTTTGGTACAACACTAAAGATGAGTACATCATTTCACCCTGCCACAGATGGACAAACTGAGAGGACTATTCAAACCTTGGAAGATATGTTAAGAGCTTGTGTCATTGACTTCCAAGGGGGATGGCTAGATAGCTTGGACTTAATTGAATTTTCTTATAACAATAGTTACCATGCAAGTATTAGCATGGCTCCATTTGAGGCATTATATGGAAGGATGTGTCGCAGTCTTGTATGTTGGAACGACATCAGTGAAACAATAATCTTAGGGCCTCAAATGATTAAGGATAGAGTTAAGCAAGTAAAAGAGATTCAAGCTAAGATTTAAGCAGCGCAAGATCGCCAAAAGTGCTACGCAGATTTGAAGCGTAGAGAGGAAGAGTTTGAGGTTAGTGACAAAGTTTTATTAAAGGTGTCACCAATGAAAGGTGTCATGAGATTTGGGAAGAAAGGAAAGCTTAGCCCAAAGTATATTGGTCCATATGAAGTATTACAGAGAGTAGGAAAAGTAGCTTATAGGTTGGCTTTACCTATGGAACTAAGTAAAGTGCATGAAGTATTTCACGTATCTTAGTTAAGAAGGTATATACATGACAAGTCACATGTGCTACAACCTGAAACAATTGAGTTAGATCAAAGATTAACTTATGAAGAAAGACCTGTCAAGATCCTTGACAGTAAAGTGCGTAGTACACGCAACAAGGAAGTTAAGATTGTTAAGGTGCTATGGTCTAACCAAGAATATGAGGAAGCAACTTGGGAAGCTGAGGATGAGATGAAAAAGAAATACCCTGAGCTGTTTAAGGTATTTAGAGTTACGGGGACGTAACTCGTTTTCTTTAAGGGGGGTAGAATGCGGTAATATCGCGCTTTTTCCCTATATTTGCAGTTATTTTTGTGCTTTTGGCACATTTTTAACGATTCTTTCGAGTAATTTTTATTTCAATGAGACTATAAAGGTAAAAGTATGTCAAAAGAGTACAACAATATTATACAAAGTGAGGAAAAAGTGTGATTTTCGTTACCCAAGTTTTGGGACGAAACTTTTTTTAAGGGGGGTAGACTGTAATATCCCATATTTTTATACATATTTTAATTTAAATCATTATTTTATAAAGTATTTAAATAATTTGAAATGAATTATTTATGGTATTTTATTAATTTAAAAAGAATTATTTTAAATTAAAA